AGTCTGCTTAGATATAATTTCAAACCGTGTAGTATAGGGGACTTAATTTTTAGAAAAGAAACACTGAAATACCGATTTTGTGTTATATTTTGTTACTCTTTGTATACAAGTCAGTTCTTACAGGGAGATGCAAAGACTACATTAACACTTGTCAAACATTATAACGCCGTATTTAGATGTTCTATTAAAAAATATTCAGGGTGCTGCAAGTTTTATTCTTACAGCTTTCTTTTGTTGCTTTGTAGAAAAGACGTGTAGGCAGTTGTTAAAATGTTCTGGGTGTTCTATTAAAGCTCTAAACTTTTTTTTGTACAAGCATTTTGTGTCACCCTCTGGAAAGTCCTTACTATGCAAAAAGTAACACGCATAAGGTAATATAAGAAAAAAAACTCTGAAAAGTCTAATATTCAGTCTACCTAGAGCACACACCACAACGGTCTCCGCAATGCGCATCTTGGATATATCAGTCCTGTTAGGCGGTCTATATTCTATTCAATAGGGTGTTCAAAAGTTTGGAACCCCCCCTCTACTCTCAGAAAATACTGCTCAAACAAAAAAATGATTAGGACAAAAGTTGCTGGGTTTTGAGTGAGCAATCCAACGGTGACTTTGACCATGACCTTGAAGGTCATTTGGAGGTCAAGTTGAAAATTTTAAATAGAACTGTATACTTTTGATCCCGGAAATGGTAAGATCGGAAAATTTTACGTTCGAATGTGACCTTGACCATGACCTTCAAGGTCATTTAGAGGTCAACCTGAATATTTTAAATGGAACCGTATATTTTTGACCCCGGAAATGGAAAAATGGAAATTTTTACGTTAAATTTTTTTCGTAAGAGCATTATTAAACTGAAGTTCTTTGCTTACGTTTGACGTTACAATTACCTTTAGGTCATGGTCAAAGACATGGTATAAGTGAATTTTACGCTCACTCAATTTCCGCAGTCAAGAATATCGGGTCATTTATCAAAAATCGACTTGACCTGTAAACGACCTTGAAGGTCATGGTTATGGTCATATCCGAACTTAAAATTTCCATATTTTCCATTTCCGGGATCAAAAATATACGGTTCCATTTAAAATATTCAACTTGACCTTTAAATGACCTTCAAGGTCATGGTCAAGGTCACTGTTGGATTGCTCACTCAAAACCCTGCAACTTTTGTCCTAATTACTTTTTTGTTTGAGCAGTATTTTCTGAGATAGAGGGGGGGTTTCAAACTTTTTGAACACCCGGTACAAATGTCTCGTACATGGTCACAAAAGAAACTAAAATAGTAAAAAAAAAACGTTTGCCGAATTACGGAATACCTTATCAGATGCTAAAATATTTAAGTCAAAGCTGCCCGTTCTGCCGGGGATATAGTTCCGAATTTTGAGTGTTGTTTGTTTGTTTAATAAAAATTCAAACTCGGACATACGGAATCTGGATCTTGCACCCCGTTCGTTTTCTTCCCGATTTTTCCCAAATTTTTCTGATTTGACGTCGACGCCGCCTAATTAAAACACAGTCCATACAACAAATTAGTACTTTAAACATGTTTTTGAAATATTATTAGCCAAAAATATTTTTACAGTTCAAAATATTAAGAATATTAGTTCAAAACATTAAGAATAATAAACTCTGGAACTAAGTACGTTCTCGCGTTTAAACATTCTTGTGTGGATAAAATGCTACTTAAAACACTTATACTTACAATAAATAACTATTATGTTTTGATGTTATCGTAAACGTTTAAAATATTGTAAATATTTTTTCAGACATTTAAAAGAAAATTAAACATGCTATTAATGCAACTGCACAATGTTTATCCGTCGTGATTTATCAGCAACCAAAATAAATGTCTCTAAAATGTAACAATAATTGTATCATACCTTATGTTGGATAACCACCGCACTATATCTAGAGCTTGGTAGAAAAAGGATCAATGTCCATTTGGACATTGGTCGTTTGTCAAACGTTTTAAAAGTATTTCAAGGGCCTAAGTCCATACATTGGCCCTTTTTCTATTAGACTAAGATTATTAATTAGAATTAGACTTAGGCCTTTTTAAATTTTAAATAATTAAGGCATATAATACTTGTTGACAGTGGCCCTTTTTGTGATGCAAATATGTAACATGAGTAGTCCAGGAGACTCATTAGCTGTTAAATGTAATTTTTGGACATTGGCCCTTTTTCTACCAAGCTCCAGATATAACTAAATTGTAGATTGATGCCCAATCAATCTATTCATTTTTTTATTTTACATTTATTTACGTTTTTGTCGACAAGTGTCCAATTAAATTGCTGTTAATCAAATAACAAAAGGACGTTTATTCATACAATAATTCAAATAATCGCTATGTTAATTTGACAGCTGCAAGAGTGTTTTTTATGAAATGGTATAACACCTAAATATAGTTAATAATAATTAAAGTTAATTTAGACCGTTAGCTTACATTTCAGGATAAATTTCGTCAATGGGATCAAACAATACACTTTAGTATTTTATACTAAGTAATATATTATTTAGAAACTGATACACTCGTGTGGATTTCTTTAATTTTCTTTATCGTAAATGGTTTTCAAATACTTCAATCTGAAATTATTTCTTTCGTAATTATTCCGATTTAATTAGTTTTATAAAATAAGTTTCTTGTTTATATGAACAATTTGAGGCAAATAACTGCAATGACTAATTACAATGACTTGCAGTTGAGCAAAATTTTATATAAAAAATTTGACAGTAATAAATAATGACTCAGCATTTATACTTTTAATCATGAAATATTATTGTCTTCAGTTAATACGTATTTTTGATTTAATAGCTCATTGCTATTGAAATTAAATTCGTAAAAATTTGTAATGTATGTATGTATACTAATTGTAAGTAAATCAAATTCTTAGCTCTGAAAAGAAAACCTAGTTGTGTAATTCTCAATTTTCTATCATATGTAGTTTAATTTTTGAAACACTTCCACTTCTGTCACGGTGTATCCTTTTTACGTAGTGTTTTGTAGGTAATTAATTAATGATGCATTTTCATACAATAAGACACAATTTATAGAAAACATCGTTTGTAGAACATTGATTACTACCGATGTAAATTGAAATTGTTATTGTCATATTATGCATTATTTTAGTAATATGATCAATTAATTTTAACAGTATGTCCGCAAAATGATAAAAGCTTTTTTATGTATTTTTTTAATTAAAACTATAACTACTATTCCTTATACAGGGTGATTAATTAACAATGGGAAAGTCGAAAGCTGAAGATANTCTCGTAATAATATGCTTGGACCGGAGCGCGGCGAGTAGAATACTTTTAAAATTCGTTGGCGGGCCGCATAAACATCGACAGCGGGCCGCATGCGGCCTGCGGGCCGCGGTATGTGCATCCCTGATCTATGCAGTTCTCACAATTAAAATAATTTATTGTGTAACCCTCGCAATAATACAAAAAAAACGTTAAATAATCCCATCAAATCAATTTCCTCATATTTTAAAATTATTTTTATTTATACAGAATGTCCCGTTTTCTGAGGTTTACCTAACTTTTCCATTCGATTTGTTTTGAAATAGGATAAGTCTGGTATCTAAATTTTATTTTTTTTCGTGTTTTCGGGTAACAGAAAATGCTCTTTCATTGTACAAAAAACGGTGTGAGTGAAAGCAATAAAGGTTCGGAATTAATCCATTTAGTGAAATTATTGAGTACATTTTCACACAATATTGGGCATTTTGATTATTTTACTCATTTGTGATTATATTTAAACTAAAACTGAGTACTTTTACTCAAATATAGGTACTCCTTAAATAAATTCTTCACGTGAACTCGTATTTGGTGCACTTGTACCTAAATCATATTTAAATTAAAATTTAAAGAGAATATAAACCAATTCTGAATAAAAAAATTACTCAGTAGTCAGCTCTAAATTGGTTTTACATACTCAGAATAGTGTCTAAAGTCACTCAATTGATAGTTAACTCGGATTTGAGTGTCACTCAGTTGTACTCATACTAATAGAATGAAAATTTCGCTCAATCGGGTGTGGACAGAAATTGATACACTATTGAGTAAAATTGAGTTTTTTTACGGTGTGAAATTCTCGAAATTGTCCCATCCTGTACATATNACCATTTTATTATCTCATTATCTATCCATATCCGAGAGATTGCCCACCATTTCCAGGACACACTGTATAAGTATATTATTATTATTACACAATTAAAATAATTTCTTGTGTAACCCTCGTAATAATACCAAAAAACGTTTAATACTCCCATCAAATTAATTTCTTCATATTTTAAAATTATTTTTATTTATACAGAATCTGAGGTTTACATAACTTTTCCATTCGATTTGTTTTTAAATAGGACAAGTCTGGTATCTAAATTATTTTTTTTTCGTTTTTTTCTGGAAACAGAAAATGCTCTTTCACTGTACAAAAATCGGTATGAGTGAAAGCAATAAAGGTTCGGAATGAATCCATTTAGTGAAATTATTGAGTACATTTTCACTCAATATTGGGCATTTCGATCATTTTACTCATTTGTGATTATATTTAAACTAAAACTGAGTACTTTCACTATATAGGCACTCCTTAAATAAATTCTTCACGTGAACTCGTATTTGGTGCACTTGTACCTAAATCATATTTAAATTAAAATTTAAAGAGAATATAAACCAATTCTGAGTAAAAAATTACTCAGTAGTCAGCTCTAAATTGGTTTTACATACTCAGAATAGAGTCAAAAGTCACTCAATTGATAATTAGCAGTAACTCGGATTTGAGTAAAACTCACTCATTTCTGATGCAATAGTGTCACTCAGTTGTACTCATACTAGTAGAATGAAAATTTTACTTAATCGTGTGAGGACAGAAATTGATACACTATTGAGTAAAATTGAGTTTTTTTACGGTGTGAAATTCTCGAAATTGTCCCATCCTGTACATATAACCTATCATAACAAATTTTTCGAATTGACAAAATATTTCATAATTATTGCAGGTCTGTTTAACAAAGCTATAGTTCAAAGTGGTAGTAGTTTAAATCCATGGGCATTGGGTAAAAGAAACGCAGAAGATGCTGCTAAGTGCATGGGTTATAAGGATAAAGACGAAAAGGCTGTTTTAGAGAGACTTCAAAAGGACAGCCAAAGAAATATTGTTACAGGTGTATTTAAAATTGTTGACGTAAGTACCTAAATACTGTAAGTTACTATATTGCTCATGAGAAGATGACTTTTCTGTTTCTATTTTGAAGTTGATCTAAAATTTCTAAAATTTTGTATCTCCTTTTATAACTCTGTAATTGAATAATTCGTTATATAGGTAGATGTAGCAATTTCATAACATATTCTTTTAAATCAAAAGTAACACTACGTGCCAAAAACTTTATTTAACATTGCAAACTATCAATATTCTTAAGATGATAAAAGAAATAAACATTTAACCAAACAACCATCACATCACATTCCAATATAAAAATAACTGCGCTATTGGCATGGAACTAGCGTTGAAGATGAACCATTACGTATATACCGTGTGATTTTGCTTTTAATAACTAACATTTATCAACACTTAATATATATATTTTCTATACAGGATGTTTCTAAGATAAGTGCGTTTCTTCAATTGAAATGTTTACTTTAAAATACTTTTTTTAGAGGCTCTCGATAAGAAAGTTCTGAATCACCGCTAGGACTGACATTAATTAAAAACAATTACTGCTTACCATAAATCGATATTAAGTAATTCTAGAAAAACTCAAAATGATCACATATAAGCATGCTTCTAGCATGCTTACTGATTTACAAGTGTATGTAACGGAACGTCATCTAGTAAACCAAGAAGGGTATTTGTTGCAAACTCTAAATACGCGGCACCATTTAAACGTAGTGGTGACGCAATTGGTCTAAATAAGTTATCACCGACAACCCCACACTATACATTCACTAAAAATCGATGAAGAAAGCGTCAATTATGTACATAATTAGGATTAGTATCACACTAATAGTGAGAGTTATGAAGATTTAGTTTTCCTTCTCTTGTAAAGCTGCATTCGTCTGTAAAAAGCATTGTGATTGTATAATTTGGCCACAATTAAAATTATACACGATTGAGGGTTTTCCTCGACAAGGTGTAAAATATTTTCCTTTCTATTTAAAATGTGTTGCGGTCATTCTTATCCATTACCTTCATATGTTGGGTTCACTCTACCTATCTCGCTCAGTCCTCCAACAGTGTTTTACACTTGTTACCCGCTTGTGGATGGTAAAATAAAATTTCACTAGATTTTCCTTTCCAAGGACAATAAGGCTCTCTCCAACTATAGGGTTGGCCCTAGCTCAGCTCAGCAATGGGGGTGGGGTTGATATAACTGAAAATAATTCTCTTAAGGCACCACCCGATTTACAACCCGCTGGACAGTACGCAAGAAGGCTGGAGAGACGCCGAAACCTTACAGTACAAAAAAACGGGAAAAAGGTACAAATAAAGCCCTAAGAAAGTAACTATACAAACAGTAACTTTAATTTATCTAAATGGCCGGTGCCTAAAGGCTACAATCGCTAAATCAATTTAGTTGTAAATATAGCCCGATTATGCACCTCTTAGGTATGTTTGCCAAAATAGTGTGTAACTTTATGTAATCTAAATAATAAGGATAGTGATAACCCTCTCCGATAGCGCTATTGGTTCGGTGTACAAAATTTCAAAGAAATAGAATACATAAAGCTTATACCTTATAATCCAAATTAAGTGCTTCTTCTTCTCCTTCTTCTTCTTATCTAGTGGTTGGTCCTTTAAAAGTCCCATAGCACTGCGGCATAATTAGGCCTATTATGTGTTCCACTACTAGTCCTATTCAGCAAGTAGATTTGTCCTTTTTACAAAGTCCAAAAGCTTCCTTGCTGTCACTTCTCTCAGTTCCTTGGGTTCCAAATAGGGTCTCCCAAGGAGCGCCATTGTGCTACGTGCAAATCTAATAAAAATTATTTATTTTCACGTCCTCTACAGCGACTTTAGCGAAAAAGAAATTATTTCGGAAACATTCTGTATAGACTAAATAGTTATTTAGTATTATGTTATAAATAGTACTAATACTACTAAGAAATCTATATATTTGAACATACTGTTCTCAACTAATAACAAAGTTCAGTTCATTCCGGTACTCTAAAAACATAATCATGTTTCTAATCTTGTTTCAGGATTTCAAAGCAAGAACAATCCGTCCATTTTCACCAGTTATTGAAACCCCTTCCGAGGATGCATTTTTGACGGAGCATCCTCTTGAAATNTATTAAAAATGTGTTACGGTCATTCTTATCCATTATCTTCATATATTGGGTTCACTCTACCTATGTCGCTCAGTCCTCCAACAGTGTTTTACGCTGATCTAGAATTTGGTTGTTGTTTTTGGGGGTAAAGATTTGCGTACAAAGATCAAGCCTCTTACAAATTATATTCGCACTTCCACACCATATCCACTACTTCTTGATTTGAATAAGGCATTTTGAAATAAAATAATAAATCTATAAATCAATCGACAAGAGCAAGCAACAACGAGACGATGCAGGGTCGGTCTAAGTTTCGCGAAATAATTAGTGACGAATTTTCTGAAACTATCGGCACTTTAGACCACAAGTTGCTTAATAAAAATGATTTATTTTCACGTCCTCTACTGCGCCTTTAGCGAAAACGAAATTATTTCGGAAACATTCTGTATAGACTAAATAGTTATTTAGTATTATGTTGTTTATCTTAAATAGTACTAATACAAAGTTCACTTCATTCCGGTACTCTAAAAGCATAGTTATGTTTCTAATCTTATTTCAGGATTTCAAAGCAAGAACAATCCGTCCATTTTCACCAGTTATTGAAACCCCTTCCGAGGATGCATTTTTGACGGAGCATCCTCTTGAAATTCTAAAATCAGGGAGGAATCACCAGATACCAATGATAATAGGTTACAACACTGCGGAAGGCATGTTGATTGAGTTGATTAGAAGAACCAAAAGTTACGGCGAGCTTCCGAAAAATCTAGAAGGAGAAGTTCCGTGGGATTTAAAGGTTCCTCCAACTTCTGGGAAAACTAAGGAAATTGCGGAGAAGATTAGAAAGTATTATTACGATGGGGAAGACGTTACCGAAGAAAACGTCTTAAAAACATATAAAGTAAGTAAGCAACTGAAAAAGGAAGTAATCAGTATAATTGATGAGTTATATTGATGCAAAAACTGGTTCATTTGCTGGAAGTTGTGAGAATCCTAAAAAAACTAAAGTAAATAAATTAGTATTAATGTACTTGTACAATTGTGTGAATTTTCATGACAATGCGCTTTTATATTGTTGTCTAAATTGTTCAATTCCCGAATATTTCAACTGTTAATGATCGGGCAGCAGCATCTTCTTTAATTCAAATATTAGTAGGACTGATATAAATTATAAATTTACAAGGTTGATATTTATTTTCAAGAGATATGCATTATTTCCAGGGACAATCGGTTAACCGATTAAATTATCTATTGTTGAGTACATTGAAAGCTAATCGATCGATCACTAGTTGCTCACTAATAATTTTACTGTAGGGTCGTTGAATAAGTTGTCACTGTTTTCCCACAGATGGCTTTACTAGAATTGCATGCGTGTAGTTTAAGATGACAATCTACCTACGAGTATAAAGAAATACTATAAGTAAGCTTGTAATTCAATGTATCTATTTCGCCGAAGTGTAAACTAGCTACTTTCTTTTCATAGTATTAAACATGTCGAATTTCGTGACAAAAAAAGATACTTGGGAACTTTACTTTATTCAAAAGAAATCTATACCTGAAGCACATAGAATTCTTGTTGAGACTTACGGCGTGTCACAAAAAACTTGCAGAGATTGGTTTTGGAGTTTCAAAAATAATAATTTTGATGGCGAAGATAAAAAACGCTTTGATTGGAGGCATTACTTCATGAAGACTCAAGACAGACGCTAGCTGAATTTGCAAAATCATTAGTTGATCACACAATAGTTTCGACGCCTTTTATTAAGGATGATTCAAAAGCAAGAATATTGGTGCCGTACGAGTTGAAGCCGAAAGATGTTGAATGCTTCTTTGCAAGTGTTGTTTTTTCATCGTATCGTGACTGGCGTTGAAAAATTAATACGCTACGATGCTCTTAAGCGAAGAGAATCGTGAGGCAAACATGGCTATGTGTCTACATCGTTTGCAAAGCCGAATATTCATGGCTCCCAGCTCTTGTTCTGCATTTGGTGGAATCAGCTAGGTTATGAGCTGCTCAAACCGAATGAAACCATCGTTGAAGGAAAAATGGTCGCTATAGGAGCAGAGACACGATAAAGTGACTTTGAAGCATGACAATGCCCGGTCATATGTTGCAAAACTGGTGAAAACCTATTTGGAAACCCTTATTATGGGATGTCCTACTCCGTCCGTTATATTCACCAGACATTGATCACTTATTCGATGGCACTTGGCCTGGTTGAGCACTTCCATTCTTATGAAGACGCCAAAAAAATGGGTAAATTCTTGAATAGCCTCAAAAGATGTGTCGTTTTTTCGATCTGGAATTAAAATAGTCAGAAAGATGGGGAAAAGTGACTAGCAATGGACGTATTGTCCATCGCTAGTCAGTGACGTTTCTTGGTATTTATTTAAGTAAAACATTACTTTTCACTAAAAAACAGAAAGAACTTATTCAACATCCCATTATATCAGAAAAAAGTTTGACTAACAAATAGATATGAAGTATTATTTTCAAACTTTTTAAATATAATTCTACTCCAACAGTTTTTGAGGATGATCAATACGTCAATGTTATATTTCAAGTATCTTGTAAAGTTGCTAGGATTCCTACAGAAATGCCCAACATTTTATTTTAGGCATTTTGCTGAGAAGCGTTGTTTCGAGAAAAATGTTATCGACTGTGACAGTCAATTAATTTCAATCCGTAAATATAATTCACACAAAGATGCTTCATTTCTAATGCTTAAAGAACATAAAAAAATTTGTTCCTATATATCTAATAAAAGAATTGATTTCCTCACCTCTAATTTTTATCGTATAAATGTTTCAGCTGAAGACATTTTGTGAGTGATTTTGGAATTTTATCAGACCACTAACAATGTAGCTGTGAGAAGAGTGTTCACATAATTTTGAAAGAATGTGGACACCATTGGACTTCATTTTCTATATATTGTTTATAAACCCCTCACAAGCCAAAAATATCTCTTGATATTTTTTTCATTTGAGATGACTTAAGAAAAAAACAAAATTTTGTTAATAACAACACATGAATAGATTTCCTAAATGTCGTTTTGTAAATAATGATTCTATATTTAATGAATATAAAGATTTATAAAACCTCTGGCAAAAAGTTATCTCCATCAGAATGTAGTTGATAGAAAAACAAGTTTTTAAGGGAAGGTGGTAGTTGACTTGGCACAGTCAATAGAATTTTTCTCGAAAATTTCAACAAGATTTTTATGTATAACATAAAATTTGTATAACAGAAAATTGTACACAATAATATCTTACACAGAATGCAAAAACCTAACCTCCTTAAAGATATTATTAAAATGTAGCTAGGAGAGATCACAGCTAACGACTTCAAAAAAATTGTCGAAATCTAATAACACTGGTATATCCCCGAAAACTTACTTGAAGCGTTGTATAGGTATTTCAAAAAACCATGACCCACATTAAAAAGTCATCCCATTTTATGTTCTACCAGTCCCTGAATTTATATTTTTATTAAATGAATTGTTTTTTTCTATTTAAATAATATATAGGGTGTCTTGGATTTATACAGGGGACCTTAACATGACAAGTTCCTATAAAAAATTTCCCAAGAGAGCCGACCTACGGAGATACAGACCCCTAAAGAACGCCCCTGAAAATCGATTTTTTAATGACTTTTAAAATACTTAATGTAATTTAATTATTTTTAAGGAGTTATAATAATTACAAAATTATGTAATAAAAATCATATTAAACAAAAATAGTTTTTTCTCGAAAACAGTTCATTTTCTCGATATCAACCAAGAGTGCCGTTTTTAAGGTTCAAGCTATCTAAAAATATTATTTTTTTGCCTTTATCGTAAAGGGTGTAAAAAATTGACATTATTGTGCTACAGCTAGTTCGTCCCTGGCACACCAAATAAGCCAAATTGTTTTCATGGGTCAATTTTTAAGGAGTCTTATAAGTTGTCTATAGCATTAAAAAAGTTATATAGTTATTAAAAAAAATCGATTTTCATGGCCGTTCTTTAGGGGCCTGTATCTCCGTAGGGGGCTTCTAGAAAAAAATTTAGAGGAACTTGACATATTATTTTAACGCCCCCTGTCCAAGAGATTGCCCACATATTCTGGGACACCCGGTATATTTTTTAATATTACCTACTTCTATATAGTTCCTAGAACCATTTTTGCTGTCCACAAACAGATTGTTTCTATTATTGTAACAGCTGTCGTTATAATTACAAAATAATCCTACTTATATTTCGTATAAAAATTAGAAGCATTTTGGAAGCTAATTTTCTTGTTTTTTTTTACTTAACCTATTATTGACATTTTAATTTTCAGAGTGCAGATGGACTATAAGCTTTTTCTCTGAAAATTGAATCATCTCTGGGATACGCGAGTTAAATAGCGAATGTCTATTTAGATCAAACTAGATTCATTAGCCAAACGCACAAATCTATTACAAAAAATTTAGAACTTAAACATAATAGTAATACTCTAATAAATAACAAAATTACGTAAACAAGAAAAAAAAACAAAACAGATAACAAAATATAAAAAACAATCAATCAAAGCTTCTAATAACAGCAACCCATCAACGACTCATACACGAAACATACGTTAAACTTTTCTTCGATAAATATCGTTCTATATTTCTTTGACCAATTTTCAGTGATGTCAAGAGAGGAAGGTAGGTTTCCAAGTTGTCTATGCAACAAATTATTGAAAAGTTATCACTACATTATTCAAGTAGGCATACGCTATTTCAGCTAATGCTGAAAATAAATTTTAATAAAAATGTCTATATTCTTTACTGAGAAAGAAACCTATAAACTAAAAAAAAAATATCGTCAAAATCAGCATAATCTATCGCAATAAAATCAATATTAAAATTAGAACCCGTTTTTAGCTGTTCACTGATATTGATAAACCCTGATTTGATATTCACGTTTTCTTACTGCTCTTAGTATAATTGTTGCTATAATTTATTACACAACTAATACCATACTTTTTTCAGCTTATAGGGGACATTCAATTCCTTTATGGAATCCAAAAGGCTATAAGGCTACAGAAACGAAATTGCAGTCAACCAATTTATGTATACAGAAACAGTTTAGATGGAACATTAAATTTTTTCAAAAAGTTTTGTACAGCGAAATATTTTAAAACTATGGTTCTTATAAATTTCCTAGGCAAATTATCTGGAAATTCTTCATTGAAAACCGTTTTCCAAAAGATGTCTGCGAAACTACCGTACAATGAATCAGAAGGAGTGGCACATGCTGATGATTTGTTCTACCTCTTTCCTACATTTTTCACACCAAAAATCGTAACTGGGAGCAAAGAAGATTGTGATATTTACAAGTTCGTAAAAATGTGGACAAACTTTGCTAAAAGTGGTAATCCTACTCCCGAACTAGATGAAAAGTTAAATAATGTAGTATGGAAACCAATTGAAAGTGAACACATAGACAATGTTCTTGGACTTGATAATGAATTGAAATTAATAAAAAATTTAGAAGGCGAAAGATTGAAATTCTGGGAAGAAATTTATGAGGAGTATTCATGAGAATTTATAAAACTACCTTAGCACACAATCTCCTCACAGCCACCCATTTGAATTATAGTTTTAAGTTTGGTGTAAAGTACCTACTGCACATTATATTTTCTTATTACAATTTAATACTTTATTGTACCTGCGTTTTATATGTAAATATACTTTTTAAAACATATTTTTTATAGTATAATTGTTGTTCGATACATTTATTTGTAATACTTACTAATATATACAGTACTTCCATAAATGTCCGAGTCCCACATAACCGCGACTGTTAGGCAACACAACTTACACTGGAAGAAATGATTAACACACAAAATTCCCTAAAATTAGAGGATAGTCCATATGGAGTAGGTACATATTACATTTCGTTACAAACATTGAACTTTAATCTGCAACATGTGCTTTTTCAATAGAAAAAAATCATATTTTTACTATTTTACTTACTAAATACTCCTCTAAGATATTTTGAACTTTTATCCCATTATATATTGAAAAATAATTTTTTGATTGCAGAAAGTTATCCTTTTAAAAATATAGACCCTTTTGTAACCCACTTACATTCAGAAGTAATGAAAATATTGTTAATAACACACAAAAAGATTAATACATTTTTTAATATTTACATATAAATTATAGGTAAATTAATTTACCTTACAATGTAACACCAAAATTTTTTACCCAGATTTTTACTTATTATATTAATAAAATTTATAACTAATGTTCAAAATGACTACCTTCGTTTTCCAAACATAAGTTTACTCTTGAGTTTTATGCACTTAAAAATGCGTTCAAGTTCATTTAGTGTCATAATGTTTATTTCATGTTCAATTGCTGCTTTCAGCTCTCTGACCAAACAGATAAAAATCTAAAGGTATGAAATCAGGGCTTCGAGCAGGTCATAAAACGCTAGTAATCAATCTATCACCATTAAGTTCCTGAAGATAGATTCTGCTGCAGTATGTACTGTGGCTCCTTGTTGAAAATACTTATGTTGCAGTTCAAGAGTCATTATCTCTCTTCTTGAAACTACTACCCAGATACTTACCTTCTGAGGATGTAACGTTGTTTCAATAAAATTTTGCCGATTTTCTGGAGCCCAAGTTATACATTAGTACATTGTGTAACGAGTGGGGAAAAGTTGCCAACAGCGCCACGCGGACGCAGTTGACGCACGAGCGGAGCGAGTGCGGAAAGCGCCCAAATGGCGCTATGGCAACTTTTCCGAACGAGTTGCACATACTATTTTCTATCACAAGTGCGAGTCGTTATGGGACCTATAGCATAGGGGGTTAGGTGCACGGAAAGTACTAGATAGTACAACAGCGTGTGATGTTATTTTCATAGCGCAACGCTGGAGCGTTGCGCTATGAAAATAACATCACGCTGTTGTACTATCTAGCACATTCCGTGCACCCAACCCCCTACACTATAGGTCCCATAGCGAGCGCGCGTGGTAGAAATAATTCTAACAGTTTACATAATCAGATAAATGTACCCATGCCTCATCGGGAAAAACGTCAGGTCTAATAAATCATCGTTGTTTAAATGTTCGTTAAACCATCGACAATATTGTACTCGTTGGGTGTCAAGAGGACGTAACTCTTGCAGCTGCTTCTTTAATGCCTTGTGACAAGTCCCAACTGTTACGCCTGTGGATATATTATCAATATTATAATATGCATAATTATTTCTTGTAAATACACAAATTAATCAGCGTAAATCTGTAAGATTTTATATGTGATAAAAGAAAATATGTTGTAAAGAAATAGTAATCTCAAAAAAATTTCAAAATGATTTAATTATTATTAGTTATATTTTAACTTTAGCATTGGGTTAAAAAATTTACATAATTCAAACTATATTAAGTTTGTCGCAGTACCTGTTTGAGTAGGTAGCTGATTCTTTGTCAAGTATATTCAACAACAATTTCCGTTAAAACAATAGGCCTGCCTGTCGACTTGCCCTTGAAAATGCAATGTTTTTCCTCACATCTTTTAATAAGGATTAATTTGTGGTTTTGCATCATCAAAGGATTCAACAATTTTTTCCATGCAGGATAGCACAAAGACCAACTTCTATCTACATTCCATGTACTTTTGCAAAAATGTGCCATCAAAATAAATGCATCTTGTTCAAGTCTAAACGGCATATTTACCCAAATCTGCGAGAAATAAGAAAGTAAAAATGAAACATAACCTTACAATATTAAGGAAGAAAAACATCGAATTTTCGGAGTTCTGAAAAGAATAAATTATTATTATCGTTATGTAGGAAGTCCTTAAAAGAAATTTCAGATACATAGTTATATAATCTGTTACCAGAAATATTATTTATACCTGCAAGTATACATAGGTAGGTAGAATGCGAGAATTAAATGTTACATTATTTTTTTAGTTGAATTAATGCAACATTCACTTGAGAAATCTCTATTTAATACCAAGAAGCTGAAAATGCACCTAACAATTTTCGAGAAATTTTTGTTAAAATAACTTGCATAATATCGAGGGCATTGATCAAATCAAAATATGCAAATACCTGATGCAAAGTAAATGATTGCAAACTAATGTAAACTTGGCGTAATTGACGAACTGATTTGAAGCAAATCTAAAAAAAATCTGTATCTGTATTCGTCTGAATAGCAACTATTTCAAGGATGGAATGAAAATTTTGAATTAAACATTTATATTAAATTGGACTAATATAGATGTATCTGATGCACTGGTGAAAAATAGTGTGTGATACTAATTGTATCAATAAGTAAGTAAGTAAGTAAGTAAGTAAGTAAGTAAAAGTAAGTAAAATCTTTATTAGTTCACTTTGCATAAGAATTACAAAATACCCTTCGGGTGTAGAACTCGTCAATTATATGTAGTATGAAATAGTAAAAAGTTAAATATTAAATATAAAACAAGATGCACACCAATACTAACATTGCTGATAAGTCAACACGAACAAAATAACACAATTAATGCACTGATAATGACAATAAATCAATATATATTATCTTCAAAAAATTCCTTTAAAGTATATTATGCTTTATCTAAAAGAATTTTATTTAATTTTACCCTAATATCTTTGCACGATAAATTTCTTATATCTAGAGGTAATTTATTATAAATTTTTAGTAATGAATATGGGACATTCCTTTGAATATAACTATATTTTACTATATTTTCAGTCACTAATGCATTTTTGTTTCTGGTATCATATAAATGAGATAAGTTAAAATCTGCGAATAAGTTTATATTTTGCTTAACAAATATAATTACTTCATATATGTATAAGCTCACTAAGGTAAGTATTCTTTTTTCAATAAAAATTTGTTTACAGCTATCTGTCTGTTTCATGTTTAGAATATTTCTAATGCATCTCTTTTGTAGTACAAATAAATCGATAGCATCACTAGAGTTTCCCCAGAAGACAATTCCATATTTTATTTGAGATTGAACATATGCATGGTATGCTATAAATGCTGTAGGAATATTAATATTTTGAGCTATTACTTTTAGAGCATAACAGTATTTAGCGATCTTTTGACCAACATGGTCTACATGGGTTTTCCAGTTCAAACGTGAATCAATCTTTACCCCCAAAAAGGAGGTGCTATTCATAGATGTTATGATGTCATTGCCAGTAGTATGTATAATCTCATTATCCTCCTTTTTGTATGTAAAGTTGATTATTTGTGTTTT